GGGAATCTCCCCTCTCCCTCCTCTCCATTTCCCCTCTCCTCCTCCCTCTGTAATCTACCCTTTACCCTCCCCCATCTCCTCTCTTCCATCTCTTCTCCTCCTCTCATCCTTTTCCCCTCAACCCTCTCCCTCTCTCCATCTCTTCTCTTCCTCTCTTCCTTTCCCCTCTCCCTCGGCCCTCTCTCCACCCCTCTCTCTCTCTTCTTTCCCTCCTCGCTCTCTTTCTCTCTTCCTTTCTCTCTCCCCCGCTCTCTTTCTCTCATCTCCTTCTCTTCCTCTCTTCCTTTCCCCTCTCCCCTCTCCCTCTCTTCATTTTCCCTCTCTCTCTCCCATCTTCTTCCCTCCCCTCTTCCCGTCTCTTCCTCTCCCTCTCTCATCTACCCTTTACCCTCCCCCATCTCTGTCTCATCCTTCTCGTCTTCCTCTCTTTCCTTCCCCTCTCCCCTCTCGCTCTTTTCTCCATCTCTTCTCCCTCTCCCCGTCATTCTCTTTTTGGTCCCTCTCCTCTCTCGCCTCTTCCCCTCTCTTCCGTTTCCCCTCTCCTCTCTTCCTTTCCCCACTCCCCTCTCGTTCTCTCCTCTCTTCCTCTCTTCCTTCCCCCTCTCCCCTCTCCCTCTCTCCATTTCCCCTCTTCCTCTCCCTCTCTCATCTACCCTTTACCCTCCCTTCTCTCCCTCTCTCCATCTCTCCTCCTCTCTTCATCTCCTCTCTCTCCCTTTCCCCTCTCGTTCTCTTCCTCTCTTCTTCTCCCCTCATCCTCTTTTCCTTTCCCCTCTCCCCTCTCCCTCTCTTCCTCTCCCCTCATCCTCCCTTCCTTTCCCTTCTCCTCTCTCCCTCTCTTCCTCTCCTCTCATCCTCTTTTCCTTTTCCCTCTCGCTCTCCCTCTCTCCATCTCCTCTCTCCCTCTCTTCCTCTCCCCTCATCCTCTCTTTCCTTTCCCCTCTCCTCTCTCCCTCTCTTCCTCTCCCCTCATCCTCTTTTCCTTTCCCCTCTCGCTCTCCTCTCTCCATCTCCTCTCTTCCTCTCTTCCTCTCCCCTCATCCTCCCTTCCTTTCCCCTCTCCTCTCTCCCTCTCTTCCTCTCCCCTCATCCTCTTTTCCTTTTTCCCTCTCGCTCTCCCTCTCTCCATCTCCTCTCTCCCTCTCTTCCTCTCCCCTCATCCTCTTTTCCTTTCCCCTCTCGCTCTCCTTCTCTTCCTCTCCCCTCATCCTCTTTTCCTTTCCCCTCTCGCTCTCCTTCTCTCCATCTCCTCTCTTCCTCTCTTCCATTCCCCTCTTCCCTCTCGCTCTCTTCCTCTCCCCTCATCCTCCCTTCCTTTCCCATCTTGCTCTCCCTCTCTCCATCTCCTTTCTTCCTCTCTTCCATTCCCCTCTTCCCTCTCGCTCTCCTCCTCCGACACAGAGCGGCTCTCCTCCTGTCCTCCCCTTTCTTCAGCTTTAAGGTCAAAGGCTGTGAGAATTGATGTATAAATTTCTATCGTTTCTGGGTGTTGTGGGAGGCTGTTGTTGTTGTTGTGTTTGTTGTTATTGTTGTTGCTTTGTTGCTTTCTTGATGCTGTTGCTTTGTTGCTTTCTTGTTGTTGTTGCTTTGTTGTTTTCTTGTTGTTGTTGCTTTGTTGTTTTCGTGTTGTTATATTTATTGTTTGTTGTTGTTGAAGTTGTTGATTTGCTGCTGTTGTTGTTGTTGTTATTGAAGTTGTTGTTGTTATGGTGTGACGGGGTTAAGATGCTGATGTTAATCGGTAAACATCTGTATGTTAACAAATAACTAACAACCTTCAACAGCCTCCCTTATCAACGCAAATGATTGTGAATGCATTATCTATCGTGTCCGTGGCGTAGCGTAGTATAGTGATCCTTGATAGTGACAGTGAGTGAAAATCGAGAATTTGTTTTTATGAGCATTTGGTATTTGTTTTATATCAGAATTGAGAATTTGTTTTTTTACGAGAGGATTCAGAATTTTTGGAATAGCTTGAGATCCTGCGGGAAGGAAGAAGGAAGGAATGGGGGGGGGAGGGAATCTGGTTGGAACTGGAATGAACCGGTTGGCGAGGAAGAGCCGGGAGGAGAAGGGGGGTGGGGGTGGGAGGAAACTTCTTTTTTTCTCTCTAATTTTTTTTTCTCTCTTTCTTTCTTTCTTTCTTTTTTGGATGGTTATTTTCTCTCTCTCTCTCTCTCTCTTTCTGTTTCTTGTGAGTCTTCTCTTTATGTTTTTTTTCTGTTTTTGTTAGTCTGTTTCTTTCTCTTTCTCTATCTGTTTGTCTGTCTGTCTGCCTCTCTCTCTCTCTCTCTCTCTCTCTCTCTCTCTCTCTCTCTCT